CTCTCAGCACCAGAGACATGGGTCTCCCTGTTGTTCCCCTCTTGGCATGACATCATAATTATCTGCTTCCCCTGTTTCCTCCACCAGGCAGGGGCTTTCTCAGGGGCAGGAACTTCAGTGCCTTACTGATTTCCATTTAGCCAGGATCCACCCCAGGGCCTGGCCCAGAGTGAGTAGGTGTTTGATCAGATGATGGAGAGAGTGAATAATACTGATAGACAACTGCTCAGCTATCTCTCTTAGCTTTTAGTTTTCTGGATGGGGCTCCTTTCCCTTCTTCCTTTGGGCTTGGGCATACTGTGCCTACCTTCAGAATGGGTGGGCTTCATCTAGCATCCTAGGAAAGAGAGCTGCCACCTGGAAGGTGTGAAGACTCGCTGGGGCTGTCCTGCTGCTTCTCAGGTATGGTGGCTGCTATGGAGTCACTTCAGAGGGTCCCATTCTGCCAAGACCTACCATGTGGAGTATCCATTTCCTCATGGCTCCAAAGAGGAGCTTCACCTAGAATCACTCTAGATAACATTCTGTACTGGTAAGGGTCCTTTACAGTCATGGCCTGAGGCAGTTAGTAGATAGGGGTGCAGGGTTCCATGTAGAAGGATCCAGAGTCCTCCGTCCAGCTGACAGAATGGCCTTTTCCTGTTTATCGAGGTGGGAGAGAGCCGGATGCTGAGTCAGGCCTGGCAGCTCTCCTCAGTCAGGTGTTTAGGGAATAGTGACTGAAGAAACTCCAGCCAGGGGCAGATGCTGACCCCTGCCCTTGGTATACCTAGACTGCAGGGTTCAGCTAGGGTGTTCCTGTGTGCATCCTGGGAAGGGGCTCTGTTCCTCTCCCCCCTGCTAGTTGGCTTTGAAGGCAACTGCTGTACCTTCCTCTTGCTGTGCAATGCTGTGATCCTGGGTCTCCAAGCCTGGATTCTCATTTGTAAAACCGAGGTAGATAGCCTCCGCTTTTGCTGGGAGCTGCTTCTAACTGTTTCTGTTGTAAGGTAGGAAGGGGAGAGGACCTCTCACTTCTGGAGGCTGTGGTAGTCAGTGGGCAGACATCTGGGCAATTGCTGGCCATCCCAGGCACCTGACCTGCAGCATCAGGTTCCTTTCCCGCCCATGCCCAGGTTCTGTCTGTGTCCTCTTTGGCCACTTCCATCTTTTGCCTTTAGAGCTGTGAAGGCTCTGTTTGAAGCTGATATTCCTGGCTAGGACAGGTGTCCTGGGGTACAGAGCCCCTTTGCCCCTGGTTCCATGTGAAGATGCTCTCAGGTGCCTGCACTCCCCTGGGGGAGCCACCGTGAGGGAACCTTTGAGCCTTTGAGTGTAGGGATGGCAGAGGTGCAGGGCCAGTAATTGGCCAGAGGACAGTCACTTCCTTTTGAGGCTTCCCTTCTGCATCTCAGCATTCTCTGGGGGAGAAGGCTAAGTTCCATTTGTGCTCCCTCAGGCCCTTGGCATGTAGTTTCTTTGGAGGGTGATAAAGTGGTTGGCTGACTTGAAGGGTGGGGGTACTGAGAATGGCCCATCTGTTTCACAGACTGTGCATGGAGAAGGTGATTGATGAGAGCATTTCTGGGAAGATGTGCACACCTCTCCTGACCCCTGGGACCCACTCTTCTGAATCCCCTGGTGGCCTTGGCTTAGTGCTAAGCAGGGTGTGGTGCTCAAGGAGCCCTGCCATGCCCTAGCCGGTTTAGCTCAGTGGATAGAGAATTGACCTGCGGACTGAAGGGTTTCGGGTTCGATTTCAGGCAAGGGCACATGCCCAGGTTGCTGGCTCCATCCCCATTGTGGGGCATGCAGGAGGCAGTCAATCAATGACTCTCATTGATGTTTCTCTTTCTCTCCTTTTCTCTTCCTCGCTGAAATCAATAAAAATAATTTTTTTAAAAAAAGATATTGAACTAAAGTTAAAAAAAAAAAAAAAGGAGCCCTGCCTCTTCTGTTCCAGCTGCCTCATAGCTCCATTGACTTCCCATGGTTCCCACTGGCTGTAGGAGCCTTTGTGGGGGACTTCCCATTGTTCCAGATTACACTGGCCCCCAGAGGCCACGTCCCCCCAGCTGTCCCTGGTCCTTTTTCCTGCCCCCAGAGTCACCTCACTGACCACTGCATTGGGTTATTTGGTGTAGCTCCCTAGGCTTTGGTGCTCCCCCCCGCCCCCCGCCTCTTCATCCCTCATACCATCTTTGAGTACCTGGGGTCTTCTGCTGCTTCTTAGGTAATCAGCTCTGGAATCTAACCCCAGGGTGTCATTCTTGGTTCTAAGCACTCTACAAAGCATTTTGAGGCTTCACCAGGACCTAGGTCTGGGGAATGGAGGGAAGAGCCCAAAGTGGTTTATTCCTTGGTGAGCACACAGGCCTGTGGCCCAGACACCAGGAAGCACTAGTTGGTGTGACAGAGTCAAGGGCACTGAGTGTGCGCTGGCCTGGGCCTGCCAGAGTCAGGTGAGGTGGTGGCCCTGGCTCGTGCACAGGCTCAGAGGTAAGAAGGAGGGCTGGGAGCCAGTCTGAGGCTGGGCTCTGCATTTCTTTGCCTTGATTGGATTTGCACTCTTTAGAAGGACCGGGCTTTCCCCACTTTCCTCCAGTGCCCTCTGCAGGACTGGTCAGGGTGTTCAGGTCCCACAGGTGGGTATACTGACAACCCCCAGAGTGAAGGGGCCTGTCTGGGTTAATATTCACTTACCTCTGTCAGACAGTCAGGTTTTAAAAAGAACCTGCATATTTATCATGAGTTGTGATATTTTTAAGTTGCAAAATATATTTGCATGCATTTTTATGTGAACAGTTTCTATTATAGTTTACATCAGTTAACTCACAGTTAAAATTACCTTATAAAGGGAAAACTTGAGAAACTTGCACTAAAAGCATGTTTCATGTCCAGAAATCTGTGCCATTTCCTTCTGTGTGTGTGTGTGTGTGTATATGTGTGTGTTATTTGTTTGTTTGTTTTTTCTGTCATGGTGGTTTTCTTGGAAATACCTTCATTTGGGGGTTTCAATTTTCGGTATGTTCTCCCGTCCCTTCCTAGTAAGATCACTTAGTGTCTGTCATTGCACCGACATCTCACAGCAGCCCATGAAGAAGGTGCCAGGAGTGCTGGTCCCATTTGGCAGATGAGGAAAGAGGCTCAGAGGTGGTGCTTCACTCATGACTCTTTTCATATGTCTTCCTTGCCTGATGGACAATTTGGAAAGTGGCCTCAACTGAGGGCAGGGGACCTTAGGACATGGGTTCCTGATCAAGAAACTGGGATCTAACTTAGGGTCTTGGATGTGATTCTGGACACCCTCGCCCACTCCCAGAGCCCACCATGGTCAGGGTGAAGCCATGTTTCTGCAATGAGCATGGGCTGGCTTTCTTGGGCCATGCTCATTGAGGAGCCCTAAAAATCTTGGTGTCCCACTTTTGCCACCCCTTTCTCTTCCTTGGGATTCTTGTCTGGGGACTCTGCCTGGTCAACAGGAATGCTGCCCCAGCACAGCCCTGCAGTGGCTTCCAGAAGCCCTGTGCAGGAGCAGGGCTAGTGGGGCCCTCGTGGGTTGGCCTAATGTCTGGGAGTGCGTTGGGAGCAGGATTCCAAGACAGGAAGTAGCCCTACCTTCAGAGGGGCTGAGCACAGGCAGGTCCTCTGTGCTCATTGTCCTCTACCCTTCCCAGGCTCCAGACTGGCTGCCTGCCAGTTAGCTTGTCCCTTCACAGCACCCTCTCCTCCCCCACCCAGGACAGCGGGTACTGTTTGAGGGGTGGAGGCCTGCTCTCCTGCGGAGGCAAGTTCTAAGCTGGTCCTGAGCAGCATTGCCTTTTGTTGCTATCTAGTGGTACAGCTCCCAGAGTGCTTGGGGTCAGTTCTGTGGCTCAGATGAGGCACCTGAGGCTCTTGAAGAGAAAGTGACTGCCATTGCTTATCTATACAGAAGATATTTGCTCTTCAGGTCTGCATGCCCTGGGCACTGGGCTTTGAGTAACTGCTGGCCTATAGTCTTTGTGGTCTCAGACAAGGAGCCTGTCCCTGGGCCAAGAGAGGAAAGAAGGGAGCATCTCCCTATTTGATCATCAAGCAAATTCAGTGCTTAGAGCCCCTACCACCAGGCTGTGAGCCACTTCCTTCTGCATAAAGACCACAACAGAAAACAATCCAAGGTTGGGGCAGTCAGGGCAGATTAAGGCTGACTATTCCATGTGGCTCTTGGTGTAGCAGTCTGTCTGCATGTGAAGGGTTTTTGGCAGGCCCATCCCACTACAGCCTTCCCTTTATCCATGGCTTACCAGAGAGGAGAGCCGACGTGTCTAAGGCCCAAGCTATGAGCTTGGCTTGAAACTTGGTCTTCGTGATTTCAGATCTGTTAGCCTCCCATTCTGACACCCCACCCTATGAGAGGCAGTGGTGTGCACATGCCTCAGACTGTTGGTGAGTGTGCAGTTGGAGTGCTGTGGCTGCCGCAGGCTCAGGAAGCAGCTTCTGGCCTGGGCCACATCTGCATGCACTGATCTGAACTTAGAGCCCTTGTTCTGACAGAGATACCGGTCTCCCTCCCATCTCCAGCCTAGCAGGGATCTCTGCGTTTCTTTGGCTTTTCTTTTCCCTAGTGTTTCCCTGAGCGTGTTCTCCTTTGGTTCTGAGTGGGTATGAATGCTGGGTTATGGGTCTCTGGGGACAGAGTGCTGCTGCTCTCCTGCTCCTCTAAGCAGTTCCCCTCCTGGCCCCTGTTAGGGTCTCTCTTCCTATCCTTCCTGTCCCACTGCAGGTGTGACCCAGACTGACTGTGGTCCGAGCCCCCAGACCCCCAAGTAGGGCCAAGGCTGTGTCTGGCCCAGGGAGTCTCCTCTAATGATGATAGTCCCTGGGCGACCAGACCTGGTTCTCTCAAGAAAGGGGACCCAGCTCTATTTGTTCTGGGAGGCAGAAGGAAGGGAGACACGAGATCACACAGGATGTGGCTTTGAAGAACCTAGAAGGGTGCCTCACTCTAGTGTTGTGTCCTTTCAGCCTGCTGTTGGCTTGATGGCCTTGGAGGGCATCAGGCTGGCACTTCCTTATGAGGGAAGTACGAATGACCAGATGTGCCAACAGGAGCTTGGGAGACTTAGACGCCTGGCCTGGAGCTGCTCTGTGCCTACCTGTCTTGGATGAGAGCCTGTTCTGCCTCCAGTCTGGTCTCAATGGAAGTGAGCCCAGGAGCACAGGGCATGGCTGGGGTTCACTCAGGGCTACCGTCCATCAGTGTGTTGTGCACATGTGCATGCGTATGGGGTGGCTGCGTGTAGCCCAGCAGTAGGCTTCGTACTGACCTCCCAGCTGTCATGCTGTGACTACTTCTACATACTGAAGGGAGAGGCTGAGAGGAAGGGCCCAGGTATGCACCACACAGGCCTTGTCCTACATGCATTTGTGTGTGTGAGGTTGTGTGCCTCTGTCAGAGATGTGGGAGGATGACAGCAGCTTTGCACCGGAAAAGCATGCTGGTTTCTATTTCAAAGGGCAGAATTTGTGGTGGTTCTGCAGTTTCTCATCTGGGCATTTCCCCTGTTCAGCTCCTCCTTCCATCCCTGGAAACTCTGTCTTTCTGGGCTGGGTCTTTGTGACTCAATTTTCCCCCTTCCTGTTTCTACCTGAGTATGACTCCTAATTAAAAAAAAAACAACCCACCCCCATTGCCCCTCCCCCCACCTGTGTGACTGTCTTTTTCATTTGTTCACTTGGTCATTGAGCAAGCACTGCCTGGCCTACGGGGAGATGAGGCGTGTATATGCATAGTGCCATTGGGGGTCAAGGGTATGGCCACTGCATGAAGGCGTTTCCAAGTTGGGTCTTGGTAGAATTGGAGTCTGGGAGGTAGACAGTCCCAGGCTAGGAACCAAGATGAAATGGGGGACAGGAAGGTGCTGGCTGTTCTTGCCATTGGCCCAGCTTATTTTGGATGGAGTAGAGAAGATGGGAGGACAGAAGCTGGGGGGTAGTAAATCATTGAGCCCCATCATGAGAGCCTTAAAGGCCAGAAAAGAAGCATGTTCTCCTTAGTGAGCAACCTGGGGAGGGACCAGAGAACAATGTTCTGTAAAGATTCTGAAGACTCAGGAGGGATGGCTCATTGTTGAGAACTGGGGGCAGGGCAGCCAGCAGGAAAGTCAGGGTTTTCAGCTTTAGAACCAGGCCCGAGGGCTTGCTGAAGACATGGAGCGGGCTGGTAGAACCAGTAATGTGTGGAGGGGTGCTGGGGTTGGGGTCAGAAGCCTTGCCATACTGTTCAAGGTGGGATGGATGGATCCCAGCTGTGGCTAGAGGGACAGGGAAAAAGCCTGGGGATTTGGCCACTTGGGACATTCCAGCCGGGTGGTGTGCAGTTTGGGCTGGGAGGGCTCCTGGGGCGGAAGCCAGCCAGGCAGCCTGTTGGCACTGCTCCTGGCCCCACATCTTCCAGGCCTGTCTGGGCTGAGCGCATTTGGAGAGAGGGGCTCTAAGGGAGTCCTCAGAGAGGGTTGTCTCTGATGGCTAAGCCAGGCTTCTTTCATTTGACCTGATCCTCCCTAAGTCCCTTTATCTGGCCTGGAAAGTCTGCTTTCTGTCTAGGATCCCAGCTAACACCAGAGGCGAGTGTGTCTGGGCAGCCTTCTCCAGGCCTGGGTTCAGACCTGTGTGCCTGAGCCAACTTTGGTGAAGGAGTGGGCACTGGATGATCTCCTGCCACGCTGCCTACAGGGCTGGGTACTTTGGCTCTCAGGACTTTTGATCTTACCATCATCCTCATGATGCCGTTATTGGTTACTGTGTTCCCAACGGAGCAGCAGTGGGGTCAGAGCAGTTGTCACTCTGCTGAGGTCACATAGCTAATAGGACCTGAGCTGGGTTCCAGCCAAGAGCCCATGAATGGTTTTCTACCACCCTGCCTTCTAGAGAAGCATAGTCTACTCTAGCCCTTTCTTTATACATGGTGAAACCGAGACTGAAAGTCAAACGAGTCACTCAGCATCATCTCTGGAGTTAGCGGCCGAAGCAGGTGTCTTCCATTCAGGCCTGTGCTCCCCATCTGTGTTAGGGTAGGGGGCGTGCGCAGGTCTGATAGCCAGGATAGGAAACACCCCATGGACAGCTGCTGCTTTGGGGGACAAGGCCTCTTCCTGACACTTGCTTGTGGGTGACTTCAGAGGGTCAGCCATTTCAGGGCTGCACCAGTTCTTTGGGCCTGATCCTGCCCAGCCCCGCCCTCCCCAAGGGACTGTGCAATTTGGTTTGTGTACTTTGTGTAAGGAAATGGTCCTCACAGAACAGCCTGTTTCTCTTTCTAGGTTCCAGCTTTTTTTCAGGTCAGAGTAACCTGCTGTATTCTCAGCAAGGGAAAGGTATGCAAGACTGAGCTCCCTCTCCCCAGACAGCTTGCTCAGACCTCTCGGGTTTGAACAGAGGTATGCTTAGGTGCACCTCAGCTCTCTCTTGTCACCCAGCTGTCTGTCCTCCATGATGGGAGTCTCTCTGTGGTCCCTCCCTGAGGGAGAGTGTGGTATTAAGTGAGGAAACCAGGTTGCCCTTGTTTCAGTGCTGTCTCAGGGACCCCAGCCTGACCTTGACCTCTTCTCTACCTTCCTAGTTGACATTCGAGAAATCAAGGAGATCCGCCCAGGGAAGACTTCACGGGACTTTGATCGCTATCAAGAGGACCCTGCTTTCCGACCAGACCAGTCACATTGCTTTGTCATCCTGTATGGGATGGAATTCCGCCTGAAGACCCTGAGTTTGCAAGGTGGGAGTTGAGGGGCTGGTGGAGGCAGGGGAATAATTAAGGGGAATGTCCCCTGGTCTCTGGCTCCGTGGGTGGTGTGTGTCCTCACAGTTCAGCTGTTCACCCCTCACTTCCAGCTACATCTGAGGATGAAGTGAACATGTGGATCAAGGGCTTGACTTGGCTGATGGAGGACACATTGCAGGCAGCCACACCCCTGCAGATTGAGAGGTAAGAACAACCCCTGACCCTGTGGTTAGAGTTGGGGGGTGTTGGGATCTAGGGAGCAGGGCAGGGACAACGTGCTGATCTCCCTGGGCCTGGGCCTGGCCCTGGCAGGAAAAGTGGCCCTCACTGCAGGCGTTTCCCTCCAGGTGGCTGCGGAAGCAGTTCTACTCGGTGGATCGGAATCGTGAGGATCGGTAGGTTCTAAGCTGTGGCTCTAGCCCAGCACGGTGAGCTGGGGCACCCGTAACAGTAACCATGCCTCAGGGTAGCTGCCTGAAGAACCAACGGACTCAGGGGACCTATTTCCAAGGGACTTGGGGTGACAGGTGGTTCTGGCACAAGTAGCTTTCTTCAGAAAACCCTCTGGTGGCCATGGTGCAAGCTGGCAAGAGAGGCCAGGGACAAGAAGCCATGTGCCCTGCCGCTTTATTCAGAGACAGGAAGTGCAGAACTTGCTCTGGGCGCCTGGAAAGAGGCCAGGTAGCTTGTAATGTGTGCAGGGGGTGCTTTGAAGCTGTAGTGTGATAGCCAGAGGGGCCAAGGAGAGATGGGGGACAAAGACCAGGTCATGACTTTCTGTGAGAGAGACGGGAAGCCAGGGAGGGTTTGGAAGAGACACACTACCTGACTTCACTTACACAGGCTTGCTGGCTGCTAGTGGAGAGTCCAGGGCAGCAACTCCATCACTGTGGGTGAAAGATCGGGGGAGGGCTTGGGTCATGGCGGAGGTGGGTGTGAGAAAAAGAGAGTCGAGGGTGACAGCTTTTTGGCTTGAGAATCTGGAAAGGCAGAGCTGCCCTTAACAGATGGGAAGCCTGGGAGGAGCAATCTGGGGGCTTACCAGTTCATTTGGGGTGTGTTAAAATTTCATGATGCCCTTAGATGTTCAGGTAGAGACATTAGTAGGTAAGTGGGCAGATGGCGT